TAATGTTGTATCTCAAGAAGTTTGTTATCAGCCATGGACGGTCCGAGCTGTAGACACTTCGGAGTTTGAGAAGCTTCTAGGACATCTTGGCAACAATGGTTCTACACCAGTGACCCCAACTAGTTTTTTAAACCCAAACAATATAACTGAGGATCAGGAGTTGTTTGCAGAGTAAGTTGTGATTTAATGTTGGGCTAGAAATATCCGTACTTGTAATTATTTTCTGAAACAAACGTCATCGCACTTTAGCTTACTCGGTAATTCATACCTTTTCTTCAGTCACCAATTAAAGAGGAACGCAAGTTTAGTACTGACTACCGTAGTATTACCCTAGCATCTTAGACCGTGTGGATCGATCTGATCACAGTAGAACGTACCTGTTTCTCATTTTACTCCGAATTTTGAGCTCAATTTTATCGTATACTTTTCGTTCCATACAAGCTGTTTTCTTTCGGCCTATTGCTTTCTGGTAAAAAGAGTCAGCCTGCTGTGCTCGACTTCCGTCTTGTAGATATTTTCTTTGAAGTCACAAAAGATAGGTGTTTATATTGTTGCTAGCCGTCATAAAACCACCCCTAATTGTCCTACACTCTTATAGATATAAATAGCTGAATTTGTCCTTTTATCAAACTTGGTGTTACAAACTTTGGTTCGTCTTGGGTACATTTCATGGTGCGTCTATTCTTTTGAAGTGACAGAAAACGTTTCCACACTTCAAACGAAGTCGAGTAGTTACTGAAAATCCGGATGGACATTCGTATCATTAAACTGACTAGAGCACATCTCAGAGTCACCGTGTATTGTTTAGATAGTAAGGAGTCAGGGGATCCAAATTTTTCTACCAGTGACCCTTACAACTAAGGCTTACTTAATCTATTTAGCTTGGATCATTTCGCAAATAAATTACATTTTGTCTATCAGGGTTGGAAGTCAATCAACTATTGTCTGGCCAGCTTAAAGATCGAATATCTTCTGCGAGAGTTAGTTTATCCCAATCATAGACTCCCCCAAGACACTTACATCGTCAATAAACTGGGTGGTCTCGGAAAACATTCACGTAGTTCTTTTGTGTATATTAAAAAGAACAACGGGTCTAGAAATGTACCATACTAGACAATAAAAAAGTAAGACAATTTAAAGTAGCTGATCACCACTAAACTGACTAAATTGAAGACCCTTAAAAATAAATGACTCACATTGTGTAACAAATCTGGGGAGCTTAGTAAATAACAGGTTGCATGTTTGTCACAGAAAGTTTTAGAGATAATTCTATGCGATCAACCGTTTTAAATGTAGCTCTCTTTGCGTTGCAAAATCTGACCACAGTCCCTTGAATAGTCACGTTCATTGATTAAGCGAAAATCTCGTTATAATTATAGAAAAATTAGATATACGATCAGAATTCTTTAGTCTCAGACTCCATAATAAGCTAGTTATTTGCTTCAGAAGATTTTTGCAACTCAGTAACCAACTACACGTCAATGTACTCGACTTTGTGTATTTACTCGTTACTCTGTGACTCACACGCAGTTATTGAGCGTCGATCGCCCCGTCAGTTAGGTCATCTCTGTTAAGATGTGTTTCTTATGGTCGTTATTTGACTTGCAAACCTATTCGTAGATTAGCATTTTCTCATCAAACTACTAGTAAGTAGCTTGAAACAGTATCTCTTTGATGTCACACATGGCATTGTTCTTTCTATGAGAAGTCTACTATTATAACTAACGTATTCAACTGTAGGTCAATGAAATTTTTCAAAGCTGGTTTCAGTCCGTTTTTACATAGTCATGTATTCTTAGAGGAATTAAGGTGTTCGCAGTTCAATCAAACTCATTTATTGTGAAAGTGAATAGTCTATTTATAATTTGATAACATTCCATAACTTGTATTTTGTGTGATTTCGTATCATATAGAGTAGCAACTCACCAATTCACTTTCTTGCTTTGTTCATTCAGTAGTGTTAATATCGAATATAACATCTAGATTTCGTTTGTTGAACTTATGGGTACAACCCTGCAGAAACAGCTGTTAATGAATTTGCAACTACAAGCCTAAAGCGGACTTCTCTCTCAACAGTTCTCGATTGCAGTAGTTATTATTAAGTCAGTATTTCTTTTATATTACCGAAGTTATTTGTATCTGAGTAAATCATAGCAGAAAGTGGTATGAGTGTGTTGACTCAAGTTGTCACCCTTTTGTTAAGAACAGTAAGGGAATATAATAAATTAGAGGACAGGTTAATTAGTTCGGGCTATATAAACTATGTAGTAGTAAAACATTCATTTGACAAAATAGGCTGTAAATGCGCCTGTACTCTTGGGAGTTATTTTAACCCACCCCTCCTGTTTCTAGTCACTAGCTTCTCTTGTCAGAAACATGAACTATCGATTTGAGTTTGTTGTTCCATCCTAATTCGTGAAATTATATTGTCTTTGTTGAAGTACAACTAGATTCCTTCCAGTTTGAAGTTATTTTAGAGGCATAGAGACAATGAATAACGGTAAAAGTCAGATTCACCACGTCAAGTAATCGACTATCATTCAGTCATAGCTGTAAAATTTATTCAACTTTTCACGTTTTTGGCAATTGTGACTTAGTTTAATCGTATTGCTGACTGCACTGAGTTGTGACGGTAGCAAGATGCTTTCCCCAGATAGCCATCATTTGGAACAATACTGCCTTCCCACAAGAAAGGAGGGGTAAGGAAAAATCAGCCCTAAAAATAGCACATCTCACCTTACCCCATGAACTTTTGTCTTTGACAGTAAGGCCTTTAAAATACACAGTTAGCATATCAAAAACTAGCCTCAGAAAGGCTGGGCGTGTACGGCCCCAAGAAATTGTCTCTTAGTCTCCATAGTCATACTTTCAGGTCACTAAAACCACTACTCATCTAGTTTTTTTCTCGGGTGCCTCAAAAGGTATCGTTTGACGGTCTGGAAGGTTGGACCGGGAAAACAACTCACATCTAACAGCACTCAAGATCATCTTGTTCACAAACAAATCCCCTCCTCAACTTCCTAATATTTCTTCTATTTTCACTCGGAGTCCTCATCTTTGATCTTCAGCCTCCTCCACATTACTCATCTTTGTTGGCGATTTGAGCTTATAAAATTATTCCTGGCATTCTTGTAGTTTGTTTTATGGTTTTCAATGTTCAGATCTTATATCAAACTAGATAGCAAGTTTCATTAACTAAAGCTTTAGAGTTTTGTGCCGTCAACATATGCTGCGTCTTCAAAATACGCGTACAGACTGCAAGCTTGATCATTTACCGACCTCAGTCAATATAAAGAATCGGATCGACTGACTACTAGTGTATATAAGCATCTGACTTCTACTCGTAGCTTAATTGGGTAGGTGTGGTATTAAGTTCAAAAGGCGAGCACACGTTCTTGGACTGGATTCTAATAGACAGTCATTCGTGCTTTGTCCAACCAAACGAGACAGTAAAAACACGGAATGATATGGACACACACTTTTGCCCTGTCTACTAACTCAGATCGACTACAATTCAGATAAAGGGAAAAAATGAGTTAGCGTTCCGTCTTCCTTCAAAAGTCAAAGCTCAGACGTAATTTTGGAAATGTCATAACTAATCTAAAGCAAAGGAAAGAAGACCCGAACTGATCAACTTCGGGAGTTTTTAAGAATGGTCCTCCAGTTTTAACAATTTAGTTGATTGAGATATTGGCTAGGGTGTGGGGACTGGACGTAATCCGACATGACTGATCTGTCGCTGATTGTTATCGTTTATAAGAAAGGATAGAAATCCTCTTTTGATAACCACAAATGGAATAGTGTCTAAAATACTATCTTCAATAATTATCCGACACATAACTGGACTGGTTTCTAATCTGGATGTAAATATCTAAATCAACTGTCCATCCTTCGTCAGGTTTCGGAACATAGACATACCAGCATCCGATTATAGTTGTATTTTTTGACTTCAAGGCACCCTTCGACTCAGGTGATTGACAAGTTTAATGGCAACCTTCTTCGGGCTCTATTCGAACACTACTGGTTGACTCACTACTTATGACGAACTGTTATCGTAAATGATGACTTGAAATGATGTTCACCAGAGTTGTCCACTCTTTTGTCATAGAGATGACGCTCAGTAACTCATCAAGATTCTCTTATTGACTTAAAGTACGTGTATGACAACCCTGTTTAGCTAAGACTGACAAAAGTCTGTATTCTAATCATCTTGAGCAGTCGTGTAAGCATGTTTGGGATGTGTTTTTCTCCCTTTAAATGAAATCGTTGCTTTAGGAATGGTTTTCTTCTATACGCAAAGTAATTTTAAGAAGATTAGTTGGACTTCACCTGCTTTAAAAGTTTCATCAGCTCTGTTGCTTTGGTGTCTCACGAAATTTCGGCACGGATCTAAAAAAGTTCAGTTGACCTTTGACTACCGATTTACCATTACTGTGCTTAGGCAAAGATAAGGTACTAGGTAAGGATGGCAGATCGATTAGTGTTGTAGGGAATCAACTGAGGTGTTTGGGTCATGTACTGTGCATCTTCAACGACCGCTTACCTCGACGGGTGATGTCTAGTGCCGGAGTAGATTGAAAGGAAGCTAGGGATGGATAAACCGAAACGTCATTAGTTTCCTATTGCATTGATTTTAATTGGTACTATAATGAGCATTTCTATAAAGTCTGACGTAATTTATTGGTTTCAGAGTCAGAATTACCATCTTAGTGTGTATGACTTGCGATTTCATTTGCCTTCCTCTATTCTAATGAAGGTCTAATTTAATGTATTTGTTAACTGATTACATACATCATATAGTCCACATAATTATAAGCTGTCTATTCACTTTGCACAAATAAACTTTATTTCAAATGCTAAACTTTTTATTTTTAGTACAAATGAAGTCAACTTTAGTATGTGTATCTATACTAACTACCGACTACATTTTGAAAATTGAATTTCTTTCGTTAGACTTCTGAACTTCGATTACTGTTTTATTTTCGTTATCGATATGATTCTTTACATATGTTAAAATATTATCATAGGCTAGCTAAACTAAAGTTTCAGTTAAACCATTTTCAGTTACTTCATAAAGTGCTTATTTTTATTTGAAGATGTTTTAAAATCTCGTCAGCTATTATTGCATTTCTGTGGCCTACAAAGTTTTGGAGTTATACAAAAGTGTCCAGATGGCTAATTCACAGTGTATCAGAAAGTTAAACCTTATTTTTAAATAAGCCAGTTTGTTATGAAAGTAGTGCCCCATTACTCACTAAAAGTATTTGCTGCTTAATAAACACTAGTTTTTATTCCAAACAATTTAGTCGCACTATCCACGTAAGTTCTTGAAAATTATTCCAAAATAGTATGGTAAAATACTCTATGTAAATTTTTATTTCATCATAACTAGTTTCATTATTTGTCATATTCTAGCGGTATTGTTTCGAGTAACAGGTATATATTAACTACTTCGATGTATTCGCTCTTGATACGTAAAAATTAGCCTTATTGTTAGGCTTATCGTGTTCAGTAAATAAGGCAAAGTAGCTGATACGTTTGTGAACTCGTGTTTAAGCTCCTTAAGATACGTAACACATTCTTAACAGAAATCCACCTCAACTGGTGTAAGAGTATATATATATATATATATATATATATATATATATATAACGTTGGTGGAACTCATAGAAAGGTTTAGGCCTTTTAGTTTATTTTAGCTAGTCAGTATACTTAATTACTTCTGTTATCCATTCACCATCTGGAAATTTGTATGAACCACACTTTTAGTAGGGTACAGTAATACTCCCGGGCTACCCCGACTGAAGCACCTGGACTGTGGTTCAGGCAAACAACTTGTTGGTTAAGGGTTTAACGCCTCTGCCACACGACAAGTCTGATTAAAAGCTAAATACAGGGACTTATTTTAAGTTACTGGCTTGCTTTCGCTGTCTTAGATTTCATTCGTTTGATATAAGTCACAAGGTTGTTGATAAATGTACAATCTGGTTTGGTTTTGATACACAGCTTAACACTCGACTAAATTTTATTTTCTGTCTTTCATCTGCTTTCTGGTGATGTACAGTTTGTTTATCAAGATGAATTTAGGTCTCATTATTTGCTTTTCAGTTTTTAAATGATGTCAAAACATCATCGAGCCAAATCAAACAATACCAGCATTTACGACATAAATTACTACATTTATCCAGCTAGTATATTAATGCTCAAAGTTACCGGTTAATGTATTTTACTTATTCTTCTAGCAATTTTTCTCGAACTTTGAACAAAGTTAAAGCTGAACAAGAGGGATGGGCAATAATTCCAAATTCATCATCTTTCGATAGTGTTATTACTGAACCAACTAGTTCTTCCTTTGAAAAGCAGGTCCAATCAAACCGAAATGTTTCCATGTCTTTTATGGAGAGTTACACTACCGGTGCCGAAACTTTAAATGCCATAAAGTCAGAAAGCGATCAAACCAATCCATCCGTACACGTTTCCGACCCAATGAAAACAAATTCACCAAATTTAACCGATGAACCACTGGTATTACTAAGCGGTACGTCCAATGAAAATCATACAGTAGCCCAATCCAGTATAAATTCAATACAAAAACATATCGCAAGTTCCAAATCCAGTTCGTAAGTTGGGAGTGTATATCTATCTCGTCGCTTTTTCTGTTATCCAGCTTTTTATGGAATATGTAGAAACATGACTTGTGCTCTTTACTGAATATGATCCGAGCGTTCCTCAATGTTGATATAAGATCATAATCTAAATAACACTGAATTCCAAAGGAAAATCAAGTCGATATGTCATCTCACTTTGTCCTTGATCTCTTCTTTTCGACAGTGAACCTTCACATTTCACTAATCACATTATTGTTAAAACACTAGAGTTTTTTAAAAGAACTGTTTCCCAATCAACAAAAGCGCCAAAGTTAATGAGCCTCTTCTCATTATTTGGATACTTTAGAAACTAAATTTGTTATGTCCTTGAAGCGTAATAATAATTGGAAACTTTTTCACAATATCGTAGCACTATGGATTTAATGGAACGATATCTGCTGCATACTGGCTGACCTGGTCAGTCAATAGTATCAATTTTCCCCACGCATGAATACCACACGTACTTCTCAGTTGTAAAATATGACAAAGAATAGCAGCTTGGGACCAGTTATTCTTTAATTACCCTCCAACTGGTAGTGACGGACGAGAAATATATACGAACTAGAACATTTATTAATTGATTTTCTTGCAAATGTATTAACTATCGCTTTTGGAAATCAGTAACTAAGTAACCAAGTTCAAATTTCAGTGGGTGTAGCAGTAGAACGGTGGTTTGTAGTTAAGGTACTCAACATCTAGCCAATAAACCCCAATTTCAGACCCCCCTCCACTTAGTTCGGTTTGTGCGTAACTCATATTCGAATACCTGTTGGCTGAGTTCATCTTAGTTTTAATTACCAAATTTCATAATGTAGTAGAGTTAAAAACCCGAAAAATGGCTTCGAAAATAAATGAAAGCCAATATCTGTTTGACCGTGTGATGGTGGGGAGTAGTTGCTGATAACCTCGTACGGGGACCAAAGTGCAGAGGGAAACTAACAAATCTGCTATTTTCAACTTACCATTCATACAACTATAGTTCAAATTTGAATATATATGCGCATATATATTCGGCGCACTCCTGTACCAATATATATGTGTTCAAATAAAATAATAAAATATAAATATAGTTCAAATTTGAAATAAATGTCAACTATAACAATCTTAGGCCTCTGTCAACGATCTTCAAGTATAACAGTTCTAAATCACTAAGCGAAAGTATTTGCTGAGTGTCTGTCTAAAACTAGTGTGAATCTCTGTCGGTTTCAAGGTTAGCCCAGTTGTATTGACAAAACTTTTGTTTCCTTAAAATTTCTAAAATTAGGGGTATTTTTCCCATCACCCTTTCGGTGTACTCCACAACCAAACCACAGCATTTAACTTGAATGAGAATAGTTTGTATTAGTGGTTCACTTTAGAAATAATGCAAAGTAACTTTACCAGGTTAATACAAGATCTGTGCAATCGTATACGAGTTAATGTGAGAGATTTTGACTTTGTTAGCTATAAGCGGTATTCTCTAGAGATGTTTACTTTAACCCGTCAACGTCAGTATGAGGGTTTTAATAGAGGCAATAACATCTGTTTTTTATTGTTACGGGTTTCATGACATGAAGATGAAAAGCACGTTATTTATTCAGTTCTTACACTTTATCTGTGTATGAATTTTATATGAAAAACAGCATTATTGACATAAGTACTGATGCATATCTTACTAAGGTGTGCGCAGTTAGGTTTATGGTATTATAGCTACTTATTGGTTTAGATTTTTGTGAATGCTGGCGTAGGCTATCAGTCTATTCTATTTATGTTACTTTAAAAAAATAGAGCTGGGTTTAGTTTTTCTGGTGCAATTTTCAAAACTAATTACCTTATCTCGATTAATTTCTATACATAGATCATCGTTGTCTCACTTGATTGCCTCACGCATAGACCTTTACTATTCGAAAAGGAATTCCGTTTAGTGTCGGAAAACGATTACTGTTTATATCGCGTTTCATCCGTGTTCTTAACATTATCGTTAGTAAACAGAGAAAATATTAATAATTCTAGAAAACATTTGAAGAAAAAAAGATAACAATGTTTAATCTGCTGGCTAACTTAACTCATTTACTCTGAGAGTGATTTCGATCACGAGGATTTTTTAAAAATTGTCACATGTGTTTGTGTGCATTTATTGAATTTGGCTGCTTTTTAAGAAACCAGAAAAAAATAACCAATACAGAAAATCGTCGTTCTAATGATTTTTTTGTTACAATCTGTTTACCATAATTCAGTCACTTAACTGTTCATAGTGGCATCATTAGTAGCCTATTATTGTTATTATAGAAAAGATTTTCAGTTTTGTTTTTGAATAACAGTCTTAAGCGGTTTTTAAAAAGAAGAGTTATGTATTAAAGTATTTTCTCAAATTGTAATGATCGCTAGCAAATTTTGTGTGTTCATTGATTAAGTGGTAAAATGTATCTGTTTTAACCACCAAAATAACATTTATTTTATGCTTGTGTTTGTTGAATAGTGATTTGTTGGTTAGTATACTTCTTTGTAAGGCAAGAAATGCCAACTAGGTACACAATAATGTTATGTACCGCTTGATAGGGTTTTACATTGAATCTTACAGAAAAATTTAGTCACTAATCCAAACCCTGTTCTAAGTGTTATTCTACTCATGTATATTATTGCACAACTGACACTGATAATAACGTTATTTACTGAATAATAACGTCATACACTAGAATGATACCATTGTCACAGGTGTCTGAGAAAAGAGCCGATACACTTAGGCTTGTCGATCTATAGACCTACCAAACTATCTGAATGCTAAATTATTAGAAAAGTCTGCTAACATCTTGCTAACCCCACTACATGAATGCCTCAGTAGCCGTAAAGCATATATGTCAACCCAATGTTATTTTGGAACGCTATTGCTTTTATTCGGTATTATTCAATTTTACTTTCTCCTTTTAACTCTCATCGTCGGAATTCAACAGATGGTTCTGAAAAAGTGTATTAGGCTTCTAATTTGGTTAACGACATCAAACTTACAGATTATCCAATCTTATTTTAATAAAATGTAATTCAGTGTCAAAGTTATTTACTGGTTGTCGAAATCGATATGTATACCTTGCTGAGCCTCAAGTCAAAACAATGACGAGTCATAGAAGTTTATCGACTCTTCCGTGTATGTTTGTAACTCCATAACTACCAGTTGAATCAGATTGATTAGATTAGACTTGACGTAGCACGACCAAATAATCGTAGCTGTGAACATACGTAAAATGTAACTATGAAGTTGGGAATTCTTGATCGTGCTTTGCTTTCATTCTCTACTGCTCCATCATTTTGGAAGGAATTTGGTCCCAACGACGTGTTCACATAGTGAAGTATATTGTCCTATGAGTTCATCATATAATGTAGTATTGTATCATTGTCTTGGATATATATATATATATATATATATATATATATATATATATATATATATATATATATATCAAAACTGTGTTTATACTACACATTACTTTGCAACTCAGTATCCTACAGGAAAAATCTCAACAACAACAACAACAACCAATTTATGACATGTGTCTGAATAAAAGTTATTTGAATAACGTTGTAGTGCGTGTCCCATCTCCGTTAATGATCACAGCTTATGTTAGCCTTATGGTCTTATTTTTGTTTTCATTTCTTTTCATCCGAATTAATCGTCCAAGCAAAGTAATTAAAATCTTTAGTGAATGTTTCGATCTCTTTTCCTATCTAAATCTACCATAATTTTATATTGTTTGATATGATACCATTGTGTATTGAGTTTTTCTTTCAATAGTAATAAACTACTTACGTATATTCAATCTTTATCAGTTTCAGGATTGAGTATACAATATCATTTCCATTCACTATAATGCAGTTGAATAGTAGCCTTATTTTAATACAGTAAATAATTGTACACAGTAATCATATTTGATAATTGGTTGTAAACGGTGTTGAACAAATATGGTTGAAGTAAGTTCTTTTACGTATAGTTTGTCACCTTAGTACAATATCTCTCAGAATAAATATGACTTATTTGGTTGTAGTTACAATTTGTTTCTGGTTAAGTAGTAACTCAGTTCCAATGTATGATTTTCTTAAAATATCTCTTTAGCTCAACCTCTAATCCATTCCAAGAAAATTTTTATTCCGATATCCTATCAACTTCTAATTCAAATCCTAATAATATCCATAGGACAAATACAGAAATCCATTGGGTAGCTAGTCTACCTACTATTTCATCCATTGCCAATGGGTTAAAACAAGCTGTTGCAGATCGTAGATGCGGTTCCACAGATTTCTGTTCAAATTTAGACTCACTTTCTTCAGAATCACGCTTTACAAATTCAGTTTATCCTCACGATAGTATGGGATCTCATACAATATCAGAAACTGTTTTGACATCAACTGAAAATATTTTATGTAATAATGATAATAACGACCCGGTTCACTGTAGATTATCACAGAAATTACCAATTTTAACCCCGTGTAATCCTGAACAACAGGCTTCTGATATTCTTGTTCATTATGCTATTCAAGAGAATCACAATACTGTTCAGATGAATGGTTCATGCAGTAAAGGTATTGGTGATGACTTGGTAGCATCATCATCTAGTTCAAGATTGTGTGCCAATGATTCATCTGATTTTGGGATAAGAAATGCTCTCAATGAACTATATTCTTCCGCTCGTCCAACTCTACCTAACGTCGGGGAGTGTAGAATTTTAACTCCTGTTTTATCATCAATTCCTGAGTCAACATCAACTGATGGTAATCCATGTAATGAAAGTACACAAAAGACTCCTGCTCATATTTTTGTCAGCTGTCAGTCGACTACACCTCGAGATAGTTCAAATCACCTCTTAGATAACCATTTGAACCCAACTTCGATCGCTAGTCAGTCACCTGGCTCTTCAGGTATTCATAACAGTGACAGCATGTTAAACAGAAATGATATCTGTCTATCGCGTCCACCGGAGTCTGTAAGTTGCTTCTCACTATTAAAATGTAATTCACTATTAAAACCACATACTCAGTACCTTAGTAAAATGATAATTAGACATTACTATTGAATTTGTATTTAGTGAGCTTCACTGCGACTGTTCTCATATATTGGTTCGATAACATTTATAACCTATGTTGATAGTTTCGTTAAATTATTTTGATTTGAATAATTCGGTTTTGACAGACTTCATATCCATTCATGTCCGATGTAAATATGTGCACAGTAATCTCGTTACTATGACTGATATATTTTACTGTCAACACCTAATGTTGATCAACACATTGACATTTTCACCTTCATTTTTGATAATCCGTACTTTTAAGTAAAATGTAGTTATGTTTCAAAATACAGTGCTTGGTATGAAAGCTTGGTAATGGTGAACAAGATACACTTGTTGTGAACACTCGAGGTAAATCAGGATCCAAATATCCTGGTGATGATCTCACAGATGTGTGCTTATTGTTGATTTCAAAAGTCAACCAAGCGCTCCGTGACTGGGTTTAAACAAACGGTCATTTATACGTTGTCCGATTGGATGGAACTCGAAAAGATGGTGGTATATATCAGCACTTGTTCATAGCCTGCTTATCAACTTGCTGAAGGGATCCTGAATGAATTAATAGATAATTTCTTTTAAAAGCTTTTTAGTCTCTAAAATGGTTAGTGGTCAGATGTAGTAGTTGTGGCGGACAAACTAAACCAACAAAAAAATTTTGGTGGGAACTTAATCGTTCCGGCCCAGCAAACCAGGTAATGGAACATTTCATCTGAAGCTATCCTGAAGTAACCATTTATTCCTAACAAGCACTAACTTAAAGCATAAAAACATTATAACAACCTTTGATATTGATTCAACATTATTACAAATAAACTATCTTGTTGATAGTCATTATTGAGGAGAGCCAGTGGGAGACATCCGAAATATATGCAGACTACAACCGCAAACTGTCACAAGAGTACATTTGCTAGATGTCTTACTAGGCATTGCGATTCCCGGTTTTCTGTAACATTTTCAAATAACTTCAACCAAAAGGTTAAGGAAGTCTGGTGGGTTTTGGAATCCTACTAAATTAATTGGTCTTCGGAAGTTGTTGATAATGATCTCTTAATACTACAAGGAACAAAGACAACTTAAACCCACGAAAATTCTGCGCGATAATCGTGACTATTGGGTAAACAATTAAAAAAGCATTGAATCACTGAGCTGTAATCCAAGAACATTTATGATACGTTTTCCTTCCCATAAATTGAAAATGTTCATTCATTATCAAAAATGCATTTACCACATTACGAATCTTTATCTTACCGGCCCTAGTGGGCTAGGACCTGAGGAGTTATCGGTAGTGGTACAAAAAGCTCTTGACTGAGTCGTGCCGAAACTAATAGACTTCTTGGTTAGAGTCTGAGAGATAATTGTAATCGTTGTTTAGTAACTAGGTAATATGACAAAATCAGTTTCAGTAGCTCAGTTACATTCATCCTTTCTATTCCTCTAAATCATGTCCTCAGACTCATTACGTACCTACTTTTTTGAACTGATTCATCTCTTTTCAGCAGTATTTGTCTAGTTTTTCATCACAGTTGAGATTATTACTAACATTCCTCTGATTTTAATTAAGTTTCTTTCCTTTCATTGTACTAGTACTGGGTGCAGCAACTTGAATTAACTGAAATCCATACAATTTCATACATCTCTCACTGACTGGAACACATATATTTGTATAATCAGTTTCTGTAACTTCGTTATAGTGTTATTTTTCCCACTTTGTGCCTGTATACTGTCATGAAAACTTATTTTTTTCTTATTTATTCAGCATACCAATGGAAATTTACGCAGTCAACAGTTCGAGGAAATGTATTGTACGCTTGGTAACCACTTTTCTGATAAGTCATTATTACTCCAATCAACAATAGATTACAACAACCAGTCATTTAATCTCATGTACTAATCCTGTATGTGATTCCTTTCTGGATGCTCATATGTTACAAAGTTTAAGGTCACCTGGAATACCGAGCACTGATATAAAGCAAGGTTCTGTTAATTCTGTGTTTAATCTCACACCAATCCCCTCATTTTTATCCGATGAAAGTAATGGTGATCTTGATCAGAGAAATAATTATTTTCAGCAGTTGTCAAATTCTAAGTCAGATACAATTGATATGACTTCATTTACTGCAGTAACCAGCTGTTTAAATCCTTTTTCTGCTGAACCATTATCATTAGTCACTAATTCAAACTGTCTCAAAAAATCTAGACGTCATGGTGCAGGGAATAAAAAGTCACGTATGAATACTTTGAATACTAATTCTGGATTACCAGTTGTTTGCGATAGTAGTACAGACATAATACCAACCCAAGGTATGTTCAATGATCCAAGTAAAAACAGTGTAAAGCGACCACGTAACTTAACGGGACGTGGAAACTCAGATTTGTCTGCTAAAAATCCTTCTAGTGTTTATAATAGTGAGAATTATCCAACTGCAAATCAACAGGCATATCGTGGAGATTCTAATAAGTGTTTTAGCGGTAAAGTTGAATCTTTGGTTATTGATGATGCAGATGATACTAGTGATCATTCAGAATCACTTAGCACAGGAACTGGTCATGCTGTTAGAGATAACACTCCAGTTTCTCTTTAAATGAATTCGAACAGCATCATTTGAAATTGGAGAGAAAGCGTGCTCGTAATCGTGTTGCTGCACGTCGTTGTCGTGAACGTAAAATATCACTTATCAGATCGTTAGAAAATCAAGTAGCTGAACGTGATGCTCAAGTAAGAAATTTAGAGGATACACTAGCTCGGTATAGAGCTGAAGGTGAACAATTAAGATTACATGTAGAAATGCTAGCAAGTTCATATCCTAGTTTAAAAGCTGAGTTATATCGGTTTCCTTTTCTTTTCCAACCATCATCGTCGCATGCACAACCACCACCGCCTCAACAACAACAGCAACAACAAACTTCTAATCAAAATACTCCATTAAAATCGGAACTTCCAGACACATCATCGTCAAAGCATTTCACTTGAAAAGGTCGAATAATTACAACTAAAAATACCATCGATATATTTTTATAGTTTCTTTGACACAAAGTTGTAAGACAGTTTCTTTTTCCTCCGCTTGTTTGTTTTTGTTACGGCATTTTAATCCACAAGCCATATTTTCTCACTTTTCGTTTTTGTCATAATGATTTCTATATTTTTTTTGATTTTTTTTAAGAAAAAAAGCTCTTTTTAGGTTTTAATGATGAACGGACCATATGTATACATACGTACATCATACTTTTCTATAAATCATTTCACATTTCCTTTCTGTCCTATGTTTATTATCTCCTAGTTGTGTTTGGAAAATTATATGTAGTTTTCAGTCTGGTTTTTCGTCTGTTCTAACGTATTTAATTCGTATGATCTTACGTTTATCATACTATTTCATAATCGTGTAACAATTAGGAATGACCTACTTTACCGGTTATTATGTAATTATCATTATCTTCCATTCGGTTAAGACCATAATGATATTCTGATGTTGACAAATAAAATCAGCGTCAATTTGTGCGCCTTTTTTTAAAGTTTTTTTTTAAAAAAATTTTTATATCACTAATGTTACTATTAGTATTATTACATCGGACTGGGAAATGTTTTTTCCTAACAGATTAGAATTGTTTCACAGGTATTATTTTCGAAAAATCAATTTTGATTACAAAATGTTCATTCTCTTTTTGCTTTGATGGTTTTCTACACTTGACAGTTTTTAATTGTTACATATTCATTGTATTGCCTATCACTAAATAAGGTAAGTTGGCTGCTCATATTTTGTTTTCGTTAAAAGTTGGGAAGAAAAACATTGTCACTTTACGTATTAAGTCCAGTTGTTGTATTTCTGATTATTTCTTTTATATATACACATTTTCTGTCTATATATGTTTTATGAAATATGCACATATATTGCCTTTATTATATAAGTCATTGTAAGCCAAATGCTATATATATATATATATATATATATATATATATATATATATATATATATATATATGGTAGCCTCTTTTATTCCCTGGAGGTTCCATCCAACCCGGTTTAAAGAATACACACATTTCATATATACATTATTACCAACATAAATATAATAGATAAATCTGCAAATGTATATGAATGGTTGGTGTTCTTTTAGAATTTTCCATATGCCTTCTTTTTTTTCGTTTTTCTGATGTTGCTTATGTTTGAATATGCAGTATTAATGATTAAACTATTTTATACATGTACCACTATTCTCTATATACATACACATTATCCTGTTTTCTATGAACTTTCTGGTTCTGTTAATGGGGAACAATTTTATTCATGCTCCGTAGTTTGTAACTTATCCTATTATACGTAAATTTAAATGTAATGTGCCTTCTATGTTGCTGCAAAGAATATAATATTGTTGTATACGAATTATATATATATATATATATATATATATATATATATATATATATATATATATATATATATATATATATATATATATATATATATATATATATATATATATATATATATAATCGGTATATTGTGAAATTTAGGCAACATCTTATTTACGTGTATGGCTTTTGTCATCATGCATTTATTCTATCAAAAGGATAATTAAACTTACTTATCATCTACAGGCAGGTACATTATCTTTTTAAAATTATTTTTAATGTAATGCTCATTCTTTCTACGTAATTTTCCCCGCCATCCATAGCGCCGTTATATATTATATATATATATATATATATATATATATATATATATATATATATATATATAGTTTTCTTCTATTCGACCATTTCACCTTCCTCTTCATTACTAACTGGTTCTAATTGAATAACGAGTGATTATCTGTTATCCTTTGAAATAGTCTTTTGTTTTGGGCTGAAGAAGAGGACAAAGTAGGTACATGGTGCACTTTTCTCATAAATAATTCGTATTTATTATTATTGTTTGGACCATGGAATATGTAGGCAGATTTTGCGATCATTCTTTTTTTTTCTAATGTTATCTGTCTTCGGCATATTTTCCACGTCATCTCATCTGTGTTTTTACGATTGCTTTCTACTCATATTGATGATGATGATGATGATGATGATATCTTCAATACCAGCAAGGAAAAATGAATTAGTCAGTTAATTGAAAAAAAAGACAAACATAACATGTAAATATTAAGTTTATAATTCTTTTTAATAACACTATTACAAATACTAGTGCTACTATAATTATTATTCTTGACTTTTTTCATAACACAGTTTTCGTTTAATAAATTTTGATAGTCAAATCTAAATAAAAATTAATTACATTCTTTCTTTGTTTTAAAGATTTTAATCCCTCGGTGAGGTGGTTACATGGGTCTTTTTGGTAAAAGAAATTTATTAAACCCCCACTTCTGATCCATAATTAGTTAAATCAAACAGCTCATTTAATATTCTACATAGCACACTTCCTTATCAAATAATAAAGTCGCTCCTAAACACTACTGTTGTATCTAGAGCTGATATTCTTAACATATGGCGTACAATTTGAGCACTCCAACGCTAGAACCTTTCAAGTTGTGAATATGAATACAGAAGACAAGTGAAAGGAATGCTGTTCCAAACTGTCAAATATAGTAAACTCAGGTATTTATAGTTTTCAGTAAAAACGAAATCATCATTATAGTCATTCAATCCACATGCGGGGATTTTAGCGTTTGTCCATTAGGAAGGCCACGCGCAGGAATTCTGGAATATTCTTCCAAAAGATTATTGGATGGAGTATCTTCGGCTCTTTCTGAGCTTCCTCGAGTTCACTCGTGAGCTGTTCTCGTATAATTGATAATGATCGACTACGAGAGCGTCTGCACAAATGAGAAAAATCTCTGACTCAAAGAAGGAAAGGTTATTTGTATTCCCGCTAAAAGTAGTTAGTGTTACAGGTTATTTGTCTCAAACATTGTTACTGGAAAACAGAGTTACCTTGTTCTGCTTTGCAAGAATCAGTTACTGTACAACGCACTTTTCTTAAATAAATAAGTATTTCTTTCTACCCCAACTACCTAGGTCTTCCATCAAAAGTTATATTGTTTCTCTCCTACTCTGGATTACACATGAGATTTCCTTTTAGTTGTCAAATATTTCTTCTATCCTTCCAAGAGGACTTAGTCGAAAAAAGTCAAGATCGGTTTGTCTGAGAAGTTAAGCACATAAAAGAAGTTTCAATTTTTGCGGAATTTAACTTCGTTAGGCCTGTTCGCAATGAGTAAATCTACTCAGTTAATATCTTTAGTTAAATCACGTGACTAATGAGATGAATTTCCGCTTTTCACGTGCATTGTGCTTTATTTTATGATAGGATTTGAAAATTAAACTCAACATTATTGCTTGTCATATAATTCCTGACAGGCCTTTAAGTCAGAGGTCTTAAGTCTTGTAAGATGTCACTCACAGTTCTAATTTCTTAATAATAACCGAAATGCATAAATTATTAATCGATTAAGGCGATTCGATTAAATCGTAGATTTAATACTTGTAAAACCTGACTTGAATTTCAAAATTGCTATCCACACAAAAGTGTCTTGGTTTTTTTAACAATCTGAAAATGCTTGTTCAGTAATCACTTATCTGATTGCTTTCATGGAGTTTTCACTACTAACAGATTAATTGGTGATAATTTTGGTTTCAGCTCCAAAATACTGACCTATGGTCTGTCTATCAGTGCACTGCAAGAGACCGAGTTAATGGGTTAATATTATGTTTTGAAATTTGAGAATGATTTCTTCGCTAACTACATATTAATCTTTTGAATGAAGCCAGATCAACTGAAACAATAATATTAATTCATTCAATGTCATGTTTTCTCATCAGTCGCTTACATCCACACATGTATTGAAATGTAACACTGCGGTATGAAGGAATCGACATTGATGACGGGGGGAATTAGAGTTACGAAGATTATCAATATTATTTATATACACATTTTGACCGCCCTCGTAGACTGAAGGAAAGCTTGGGAGGAACTTGCTTTCATTATAATCCATCTACGTGATATTGCATGCCCACCGAAATTCATTGATTATCCCGAAACCAACGTACGTGTTAAATAAGACAGCGTAATTGAGTTAATATCATCCAATAAACTTTGACCATCTTGCACAGTCAAGTGTAGTTTTCTCGGATGGATTTAATGTGCGTGATTATTTGTAAATTATTGATTTTCTTCTAAAACATTAGACATAATAATAGTAGAAATAACATGTTTAGATTAGCATTTTTATTATTTACGAGGGCTTAATAAAACCAATTGAAACGTTTTTAACTAAAAAAGCCATGCATGTCACACTGTTTACAATTGTTGATTGAAGAGTTCACTTAGCACGCGACTCAAATTTGATAGATTCTAAGATTACGTCACATGAGAAATAACATGTAAAATGTATGTATAAATGAAACTATTACATAAGAAAATAATGCAAATCAAGGGACTGTTAGATATTATTTACCAGTCTAGCTGCTGATGTGGTCGAATTCTGTATACTCGTAAATGTCGATGGCACTATCCTAATGTTAGATGTACATTAATTAACAACTGGATAAATCAATAAATATGAAATTACAGTATTCATGTCTTGCATGATCCCCCTATGCATAAGTAAATTGGGAATTCTTTTCACATAGTACTGCTACTACTACTACATCGGAAATTTAAATTAAGTGATATAAATTTTTAACCTAATATTTAGTATATTAAATAATGTATATGTATATATATAGCCTCTTTAATACCGTGTTCTGCCATGCGACAGATTTTGCGGAAATTTGTAAACCAAACTGATTATCTGGTAAAAGGATCGTCATATTCTAGAATCTATTTATCTTTCAATATTCTTGTAGTGTTAGAAATACTTTTGTATTAATTAACTTTTCATCGTATATTTATACACTTTGCCAAATAAATATCTAATAAAAACTAAAAATTCCCAAAAGTTACATGAAATGAATTACTCATTTAGTGATTATTTGGTATAAGGGTGCACTGAGAGAAAACGTAGTACGTCCGAACTAAGTTAATGAATTCTTTGACGGT